TAAATACAGTTGATCTCATTAACAGTTTTCTTCAAGAGTTTTTCTACAGTTACATATTCTCTGCTGCAAAGGTTGCAAGCTTTCCTTCTGCGAAGTTCTTCGGGGGAGATCAGTTGGGAGTTTCATGCTCTTGAATTGGGAGTTTCATGCTCTTGAAGCCCCAAGTTGGCAGGGACACCCATTTTCCCTCTTTCTTCTTTACATTCACTGCCATTCTTTCTCTCCGAACTAAGGATGCACGTCGCACTTCGCTTTATTGTGGCTTGGTTCATTTTTTTGTGTAAAGCATTGTGTAAACCCAGCTGTTATGGTTTATAAACCACATTGGAGCAATCCCTGCCCTGGTGTGATATGTGAACTTTTCTCTTTTCTCTTTTGGACATCCCATTCCCCCCTTCCTTCCACCCCATCCCCATTGTTCTTTTTTTACTTCCTTCCCACCCAGCATGATGCTGGAGAAGAGACAAATTGCTCTTGCCAGAGATCAGTACTAATTGTTTGCAGAGGGCTTTTGAAATTAGTTTGAGGATGAAATTAGACCAGTTGCCCACTCTTGCTCTACCTGTTTAATTGCTACAGTATAAGAACATAAATCTTGTGAAGAACTTTGCTGCATCAAATTGTTGGTCTGATTGCTTTTGTCTGCGTTCTCCTCCTGGCAGCATTGGCCATCTGGGAAACGGATGGTACATCTCCTTCTTAGCTGATGATCCCTCAGAGTCAGCTATTTTGAGGTTTATGGTCACTTCACGAGCAATCGCTCGATCGGAATCTCTGAATTGATGTTTCAGGGATCACTCTTCTCCTGAATGTTCTTTGGAATAGATTTCTTTTTTACTCGAGACGGCGAGGAGGAATTAGACGACTCAACAGCTGTCCAAATAAAATCACAAGATGAAAGCAGGGTAGTTTTATGTGTTTTAGCTGTTATCAGAGTTTTTGTTTGACCAGACATGTGTAATGATGCCAATAGCTGGACAGATGCATGCAACACTGATTTAAATCGTGCTCATGCCATCCTTTGAAAAACAAATCCAGTAAGAATACCCGTAAGTCAACTCAAAGAACAAAAAAATAATAATGAGAAAATAAGGGAGTGGCTGATGGACTAATGGAATCAAGAAGCTGCCAATCTCTTTACTGCCAATGCCTCCCATAGGTTTGAAAATCTTGACTTCTTAGAGGAAAATCCGAGAGGCTGTCTTCTTATGGTTCTATAAGTTACTTAAGTGAGAGGGAGGATCCTATAGTCGGTACCCTGAAGGTTTAGAGTACAGGTAATACTTGACTTACGACCACAATTGAACCCAACATTTCTGTTGCTAAGTGAAACATTTGTTAAGTGAATGTTGCTCCATTTTACGATCTTTCTTGCCACACAGTTGTTCAATGAATCACTGTAGGTGTTAACATCATGGCTGTTAAGTGAACCTGGCTTTCCCGTTGACTTTGTTTGTCAAAAGGTTACAATAGCTGATCACCTGACCCCGAGACACTGCAGCCATCATAAATATGAGTCAGTTTCCAAGGGTCCAGATTTTGATCACATTGCCACGAGGATGCTGCAACGATTGTAAGTGTGGTCACAGGTCACAGGTTACTTTTTTCACTGCTATTGCAATTTTGAACAGTCACTAAATGAACATACATGAAGAACTACGTGTACATAATAAAAATCTTTGCTAATTGTGGCTGTTTCAATATATCATTGCAGAGGCATCTCCATGCATTAAAGCAGGGGTCCCCAAACTTGGCAACTTTAAGACTTGTGGACTTCAACTCCCAGAATTCTCCAGCCAGCATAGCCATTTTTGAAGTCCACAAGTCTTAAAGTTGCCAAGTTTGGAGACCCCTGCATTAAAGTAACATATTCTGAGATTTATTTAGAGTTAGCTGCATGTGCTGATTCAAAGTACTTATAAGATGCTTGTTAATTGCGATTATTGGGAGTGGAATGTGGTGGATCTGGGCAGAATGGGGATAGGATTTATAACAGGCTGAGCATCCTGATATCAGATAGGTTACAAATTATGAAGAAAACCGAAGTGAGGCATCTGATTTAAGAAACATATCTCTGTAAGCTGGAGAGAAACTGTGAAGAGATGAGCCACAGTGGAATGGAATGCATTGATTTTTCTCCATCCATGTTCCACTGTTATTTAACAGAGAAAGACAAGAGACAGGTTCAATTTCCCAGCCTGAAACTTACAGGGTCTCTCTGGGCGGTCATTGTCTTTCTATCCAACAGCTAACCTCTCAGAGTTCCTGTGAGGATAGAATATGAAGGAGAGAACATTGCACATAATATTAAATAAAGTATATCAATGAAATATTTCTGAATGTAAAAGAATACTAGTTTAAACTGGATTCCCCCTCCTTACTTATTTGTGATTATGTCAAATATGGCTTTAAGTAGGTTGTCGCTGGCCAACTTTAGTGAGGAATCACTAAATATCAAGAGAATAGGAATATATTTATTCAGTGTAAAGGACTAGCTTTGTAAGGTTATTCAGAAAGGCGAAGAAAAGGCTTGTAGTAAAGACTTTGCAATTTTTTTTCCAGTCATCTGAGCAATCCGTCAAATAACGGGGGCTTTTTTCTACTACTGTATAGTTCTTTTTTTGTCTTCATGGGGCTGGTTTGGACTCTCTTAGTCTTGCTTTAATCATTGAACCTTATCTATGTTTGTTGGCAGTGTGTGAGTTTTCTGAGTTCTACTATCCTATCTAGCACTGCTAATGTGGAGCTTGGTAGGTATTCCAGCACCACAGTTCATATTCTTGCAGTGCATCTGGAACTTAGTTGAGATTGTTGCCAATTTGTTATACTTGTTAAAGATAATTATCAGTTATTTTGTCCACATGGTTACAACCTGATCCTAATGTAATTATATCAACCCAGTGACTGGAATTCATATATTAGAAATAGTTTGCCAAATCAGTTTTTTTGGATAAACCACAATTGGCTGAATTATAAACTATGGTTGACTAAATCTACACAGCGTAACAAACCAAAGTTAAATAAATTAGGATATGTAAACCAAGTGGAGTAACTCTCCACAATTATTTCCAAGGGATAGGCAGATCTTTCTTCTATATGGGTTCAGAAGGTTACAATGCTAGTCAACCTTGGGTGACCTCAGAAGCTAAGCAGGTCTATCATAATATAGCACTTGGACTGGAATCACAGAGTTGAACCTCAGAACCAGAAATTAAAAATAATATGGCATATATCTGTATCTGTAATGCTGCCAAGAAGACTGAATTGCTGCAGTCACTAAGAGTCAAACACAACTTGAGGGCATCTTTTCCATTTTAAACAAAAAATGTCTTTCATCACTTGGAGCTTCCAACCTGGATCGGTTATGACGTTTGCTATAGCTACTGGCAGTTTTCAGTTCCTGCCTACTCCATCTCCATCATGTAACAAAACCGCAAAGATAAAATTATCTCCCTGTTCTAACATCCTCCTCCCTATTGTACAATCTATAAGCAAAATAAATTGGCACAAGGAACTGTTATTCCTGAGAGCAGTCTCTCAGAGCTTCTTTGGATGCTAGAGAGGGTGTTTTTGTTATACCTCTTTGTCATCTTGGAAATCTTTTGGCTCACCCAAATCTATTGATAACGCGTTCATGTCTGTAGCTGGTTCAGTTTTGACTTCCAACAACAGCCATTTAGTAACAAAGCACCTATGTTCTAGTAGAACAGGACTCCTGCTTTCTTTTCTAATTTCTAACTTTCCCTTGTATTTATACACCCCAGCTCCATAATCCTGAAAGAAATCATAACATAGAAAGAAACCTTTATTCAACTGTTAACATTAAATAGTGGAGATATTTGTAGATTATTATTAGTTATGCAATCATACCTATATCAAGATATAAATGTGAGTTGGAATCTTCTAATATCACCACCTCCTCCTCCTCCTCTCCCTTCTTCCTCTCCCCCTTCCTCTCCTTCCATTCTCTTTCTCTCTCTCTCTCTCTCACACACACACACAACACACAACACACAGGATTCAAAAATATATTTTTATCCACTCAGCATTCCTGCAAGGCAGGTTAAATTGTGAGTGATTTGCCCCTTATTATATATTGCTGCTGAGCCAGGTTTTTTTTTTTTATCTAGTGCTTCACCATTAAGTGCAAACTTTTCACTATTGTATCATACTGCTTTCATTAGTGCAATCCTACACACTTACTATTTGGGCAGAAGTTCCGTGGACAGTATTGGGCCTATTCCTGCATCATCATTTGGAAGTTAGTCCCATTCTAGTGTGCAAAAATGGCACTGCTTTGGCTGAACCATGTCCATCATCGGTCTTGTTTCTCACTCTTTCTAACCTCTTTAAATACTAATGAAGACGTTTGTCCCTTATATAGTTGTATACAGTAGTTTTATCATTATTCCATTAGGTATATGGATTAAAGTGTATTGAATGTAGTATATTTAACCCCAATTCAGTCATTTGTTTTAATCAGGGGAAAGGTCATCCCAATTCATTTATCACTTTGGTTGTCCCAATACCCAAAAGCCCGAGTATGGATGTCTTTTCAGAGAGGAATTGGTGCCATGATAATACACCGAGGACTGGTGGATGTAACAGATTAAAATTAAAATTAAAAATGTAAAAGAAAGGATGCCTTTCTTTTCAGAATACCACTCTATCTGTTGTTAGCTGATGTTTATCCAGGAACACAAAACCAAGGAGAACTGAAGGATATTTTTGTATTGGAAGAAACTGAAAAAAAATTGTGGGAGGAGAGATAAACTACGTTTGAGCTTTAACAGAATGTGGAATTTGGTAGAGCAACCTTCCCAATCTGATACCTTCCCATTGTTTTGAATTCAGAATTCCCAAAATCGATTTGTAATTTCTACAGCCCTTGAGGGACCCACATTGGGCAAAGCCGTGTTTCCAGTAGGGACCAAAAAAAGACCTCAGGGTCCCTATCAGTTAACTTGTGTGACTTTGATGGTCTTTTCTCTTTCCCTCAGGTAGCCGAGAAACTGCCTTTGCATACGCTGTCAGCGCTGCAGGAGTTGTGAATGCCATCAGCCGCGCCTGCCGCGAAGGAGAGCTCTCCACTTGTGGTTGCAGCCGGACACCGCGACCCAAGGACCTGCCCCGGGACTGGCTTTGGGGTGGGTGTGGGGACAATGTGGAATATGGCTACCGGTTTGCCAAAGAGTTTGTGGATGCCAGAGAAAGGGAGAGGAACTATGCCAAGGGATCAGAAGAGCAGGCCCGAATACTCATGAACCTACAGAACAACGAGGCAGGGCGCAGGGTAAGATCATTTTAATTCGCTTCTATTTCTCTGTAGATTAGCTTTCCCATCCTTGTGCTCCTAGAAATATTTTAATGGAATTCCCTTTGGCCCATCCAGTAGGGCATGGGACGTTTCACAATGTTTTCCCCATTCATGGAGCTGGGGTGGGCGTGGCCTACGGGTGACACATCCAGTCCATGCGCCACCAGTTTAACACCCTTGCAGTAGGGCCGCTGAATGGTATTGCTTGTTCCATTGTTACCTTTTCATTGGGTATTTTAAGGACAGAAAAGAAAAAGATTTAGGAAGCCATTTGTTCTAGTTCCACTCATCCCAGCCCATGCAGAGAAAGTTCTTCGTTTAAGTTTTAAGGGCCTGGAGACTAAAACATGAAGAACAGTTGCAGGAATCATGATATTTATGGCTAATCTAGAGAAAAGATGGACTAGGGATGGCATTATAGCAACGTTCCAATATTTGAGGGGTTGCCACGAAGAAGAGGGAGTCAACTTATTTTCCAAAGCACCTGAGGGCAGGACAAGGAACAATGGATGGAAACTAATTAAGGAGAGAAGCAACCTGCAATTAAGGAGAAACTTCCTAACAGTGAGAACAATTAAGCAGTGGAACAGCTGGCCTTCAGAGTTCAGACGTTGTGGAAGCTCCATCACTGGAGGTTTTTAAGAGGAGACCGGACAGCCACCTATCTGAAATGGAATAGGCTCTCCCACTTGAGCAGCTGGTTGGACTAGAACAGGGCTCTCCAACCTGGGCAACTTTTAAGACTTGTGAACTTCAACTCCCAGAATTCTTCAGCCAGCAAAGCTGAGTGAGGAATTCTGGGAGTTGAAGTCCACAAGTCTTAAAGTTGCCAAGGTTGGAGATCCCTGGACTAGAAGACCTCCAAGGTTCCTCCCAGCTCTATTCTGTAAATAAATACATAAAAGATCTCCTTTGAGAATGCTGGGGTAGAATTTGCTAACACTTGCTAGCATTTTCAACCCTTTAGCAGCATTTTGATCCCCAACACGATCGATCTCTCTTCTTGGTGTCTCCACGCTGCAGAAACTGCAGGTTGTGGAATGATGGACAACAAGACATACTGCTCCATTCTGTTTTCAAGGAAGGTCATCCATCAGGGATTGGAGAAGGGATTGTCTTAGCTATAGACACAGTCCTGACCCCATCCCTGCTCCACTGCGCTCAGAGATTCAACTTCTAGCTTTATTGCTCTGTTTGTTTATCTTTGACGGTTATCTCTGCTTGCCCTTTCCTCCCCTCTGTCTCTTTCTCCTCTTGATTTCCGTTTTTGCCTTCTTTCCCATTAGCCTGAATCTTATTGTTCCAAGGGGCTCTTAAGCTTTGGCAGACATGCTGCATTATTTATCTACACAACATGTAACAGGCCTCCAGCAATCGTCAGTCGAATACCATTGAAGCCGAGAAGAAGTTTGATTGATAAACTGTGTAGTAATTCGTTACAAATTCGCTTGAGATTACATCTCTTATGAGAGAAGAACCCAAAAGAAATTTGAGGTGGAGAGTAACAGAAGGGCTGACATAAGCAAATCTCTTTGCCAGATCCTTGCAACTTGATACAAAGGGTCGGCTTTTCGAGTGCAAATGTCTTAGCTGCCTCTGGCGCCTCAGCTCTTGATCTATAGCTCAAATATCTTTACTCCCATTTTTGGAAAGAAAATATGATAAAGGAGGAAACCATTTAGCTATTTATTCACTGACATCTCTTTTGAGACAGACACATAGATAGATCTGAGCATCTAGTAAACATAGTATTTTTGAAGTAAGCCATATTGATTTCATTCAGATTGTGATCTGAAATGAATTTAGGATTGTGGGGAAATCCCTTTATTTGTGCAAATAACCATGGTGTTTCTGGAAGGAGAGCGGCTGCTGAAATTCCAGCGGCTTCCATAGCAAACCACGTTTCTGTTGCGCATGCTCCCCTGTACCTCTTAAGGCTGCCAAAAAAAAAAAAAAAAAATACATGCAGTTTTTAAACAGCGTCAATTCATGCATAATTTCCAAATCATAGGAAGCATTAGTTCAATCTGCAATAGTCAGATCTCCACCTTGAATCTTGTGTTTAAACTGGACATTTAAAAATGATCCCGGTAAAAAAAAAAGGTAGAGACAATCGGAGAAGTAGAGACAAAGTTCAGTGGAGAGAAATTGAAGGAACTGGATTTCTTTAGCTTTGAAAGAAAAGATTGAGTGAGAAGGCAGATTTCAATTGGATGTCAAGTTTTTTGTGAGACTAAGAGGAAATTTAAGTGTGGAACCAATTACCCAGAGAGGTGTTGGGTTCCTACTATATATGTTCAAGTAAGGGTTAGACAACCATCTATCTGAGATGCTTTAATTTACATTCTTGCACGTATCAAGGGATTGATCTCAGTTACTTAAATAGCTTCTTCCAATGACAGCAAATTTAGTGTGCGCAGTTCTTTGAATTACTAGCAGATTATTCTTCTCCCAACCTCCACTAAAAGTAGAGTAGGATTCATGTCAATCTTTAAAGATAGACCAGACTAGAAAAAGCAAAGTCATGCCACTTTTATTATAAAGTTATAGTAATAGGATCTTGCAAGTCGGAATACCTTTCCCCCTCCCTTTATTTTCATTAAAATTAGGGAGTATATTATTTGAGACTTTCCTCAGGGTACAATTTATCCCCAGTCTCAGGTTTCTTTTATCTATTTTATTGGAAGTAGCTCTTCCTTCTGTTCCTCAAGGTCATTCCTTCTTCCCATTACAATGCTCCTTAATCTTAGCATAAGGCTCTTGGATCTCCTTTATACCACACTGGGGTATTTAAAGAGAAGATATGCCAGCATAACAACTAAGAGCCAGTTTGGTCTAGTGCAGAGGTCTCCAAACTTGGCAACTTTGAGAATTCTGGGAGTTGAAATCCACTAGTGTTAAAGTTGCCAAGTTTGGGGACCCCTAGTCTAGTGGTTAAAGTACCAGGCTAGAAACTGAGAGACTGAATTTTAATCCTACCTTAGGCATGAAAAGTAGTTGGGTGACTGTGAGCCAGTCATGTTCTCTGTGCCTAACTCACCTTACAAAAGGGGTGGAAAATGATGGCCCATTTATGACCTGTGGACTTCAACTCCCAGAATTCCTCAGCCAGCCACCCTGATAGTCATAAAGGGGCCAACCTCTGCCTTACAGGGTTGGTGTTGTGGGGAAAATACATGGAGGAGGGAGGACTGTTACATATGTTTACCACCTTGAGTTAGTTATAAAAAATATAATAAAGAGAGGATAATAAATTAAATTCAAAACAAATAAATCTAGTTTAGTTTTCACCTTCAATTGTCAGATGATCCAGTGGATGCTAGAGTAGATCACCATGCATCTTATTTGTAGTCAAGGGTGGGATTCTACTAGTTCACACCTATTCACTAGAACCGGTTGTTAACATTTGGAGAACCGGTTGTTAGAAGAAATTACTGGCCTAATCCTGTAAGGAAGGCAGGAAGGAAACATTCTGGTGTTGCTTACAGAAACTGCCTCTCCGTTAACCCTTATTACATTCTTGGCAGGACTAGACTTCCTGTCTCTGGAACTTCTCTGGAGTTTTTTCCCCCTCCTTTGCTGGTGCGGAGTGACCATTCAAAGTTACAATGGCGCTGAAAAAAGTGACATGACCATTTTTCACACTTACTACTGTTGCAGCATCCCCACAGTCATGAAAGGCCAGGCGAGGAGATGTGTGCCTTGATGTGAGTGATATTGAGTTGGCCACGCCCAGCCAATAACATGACCACCAAGCCACGCCCACCAACTTAGCCACGCCCACAGAACCCATTGTTAAAAAATTTGAATCCCACCCCTGCTTGTAGTTTGATGCTAAATTATTCTTTTGTTCTTTGGACACCACCAGAGCATAGTGGCTGGGATATGTAAACTTGCTTTTCCTACCTAAAAGTTGTATGCATTGTGTGTTCACCTCAGTGTAACAAAGAATTAATAATTTGCTGGACCTAACAGGAAAAGCAGGGGAAAATAATTAATGGATGGATCATTCCAGCCCTTTTAATCTATATGGTATGAGATGTGGGGGGCGGGGAATAGAATAAGGATCATATTACACTTGAAAAACACTGCTGTGTACTAATATTGTTATATGTACAAGAGTTGCTGATTGTAAAATGGCAAAGGTGTGATGTATTGCACATGCTTAAAGGTGTGAAAGCAAGCAAAGTTAAAAGACCAAGGCTACAAATAGCACAGAATTAAAATTAATATATAAACCCAAGAAGGAAATGCAGCAGTTCAGAGATAGTAAAATACCAGTCCCTAAATTATCAGCCTCTTAAACCACCTAAAAAGAGGCATCTGGGTTTAGGAAAGTTTTAGGACAGTTGTATGGATTTTTCCTGGAAAGACATTAAGGAATTAAACTGTACCTGAAAATTCCTGGTTTTTAACTACACCTGTTAAACCTGGGAGTGATAGGTATGTTTTGAGTATTGGGACTTTTCTGCTGCCTAAGAATTTTGGCTGATATAGACCTAATATATCTGAAAAAGCTCCAAGTCAGAAAATACATTTTTTTTGTATCAGTATAACCTGATTCCTAGCAATTGAGGATTTTGAAAGAGAGAACAAGGTTCTTGAATGAATCCTGTTTTTAATATTTTAACATATTTTTGGCATTTGTCTGCTACTCTTTTGCGTGGGACCCACAGCAAAAATCTGATGGAAATTTTATTCAAAAGATACACCAAGAAAATACAATTACTTTTCCTAATACTGATATAATTACTGGTTTGAAATCAAAAGAAGTAAAATACAGATTTTATATAGCAAAAGAAAAGGTGAACATTCCAGTGTTTTTGAAAATCTTCAGGCATACATTTATTGCTTTATGTAGAGAAGGAAAAGTATCCCAGGTTTCAAAAGTCAAAATTTCCTCTATATTCTACAGCCTTGGTGGTATAATATCCCTTTTTTTGTAGGGATTCTTGGTCCCACCCCATTTCTTATGCTGGATTGGACCAGTTTTATTTGCAACATCTGTTTATCACTCCAAATTGCTTTGAAGACAGTTTTGGTTATTACCATTTTGTTTGGGATGGACATAAGCCACACACCCCACTGCAGATAAATAGAGCAGATCATAATTTTGCCAGGCAAAGAAAGCAAAAATTGGTTCAGTGTGTCCCTGGTTAGAGCCAAGTCAGTTTTTCCTCTTGAAGTGGATTTTAAAAGATAGTTTGCTCAGATTTGGACCAATGTCAGCTTCTTGATATAAAAATCAAATGTAACGAGTAAAAGCTGAAACTCAGGTTTTTTTTTAAATGAATGCCTAGAATGAGGCGTACAAAATTTCTTCAACTTCCAATTTTCTAAGATAACCCAACAATTCACCAGAACAACTCCTGTCAGATCTGAATATTATTTAAGAGAAGTCAGGGAACCAATTCGTATAATATTTTTATATTCAGCTGATGTGAGTAGTAAACTTGTGATTAATGTGTTATATTTCTTGGAGATGCTGTTGCAGGTATTAGCTTAGTAAATAAATTTAAAATCATTATCAGTGTAATGATATAAGTCTTACCTTTCCTGATATACTTGGGACAATGTATATACATGTAGTCCTTGGCTTACGACTGTAATAGAGCCTGCCCATTACAGTGTTGATAGTTGTAAACTAGGTCACCCACATGGCTGACCTGATTTTATAACCTTTTTGTGGTGGTCATTAAGTGAATGTGGTAGTCATTAAGTAACTCCATTGTTCACTCTGGGTTATTTTTTTTTTGCAAGAAACCAAAAGTAAATGCTGGTTTTCAATACAAATGTCATAAAACATGGTCATGTATCTGCAGGACACTGCAAACAGCCATGAACGTGAGCTGGTTGTCATGCACAGAACATGTGGTGCAATGTGACTAAAAGGAAAGCTGGAAATCAGGTCTTGAGAAATTCTGAGGAATCTGTCATAACTTTGTGAGATTCCCTGGGAATTTTCTGCACAGACATTAATCAGATCCATTTCTGCTTATCTTCAATAAGACTTTTATGCCACATTCCTTCTGACAACTTATCTATGCATTCCACTCAACTTCTATGTAAAGAACTTAAAAAAAACAATTTGTAGCATGTTTACATCCTCTGTAAATATGCCACTACCAAAACATTTTCAGTCTTAAAATAGTTTTTAATTTGCCATGCACAACAGAGGAAGAGGGCATTCCAAGACAGGATGTGTAATTAGGGTTATTGTACATTCATATTTACATATAAAATGTAAAGAAAAGTTTCTGACGTCATCATTGCTTTCCCCCCAGATGTTGAATTGATTATAATCAGGTTAAACTTTCAATATACATGTAAGTCACAACCATCCCACACATTTTATAAGCCCAAGCATTGAAATGATTGCAGCAATAAATAAATAAAATTTATAGCAACAAGCCTATTATTTGACAATAAGCTATTGTCAAGCTTTGATGACCATGCCTGTGAATACATGTTACATTTCCAAATAGGCATTCATCTGATTCATCACATACAGGACATTTTTAGATGCAAGTTTTGTTAGAAATATTTCTTATTAGGTAATAAAGCAGGGCTGTCCAAACTTGGCAACTTGAAGACTTTGTGGACTTCAACTCCCAGAATTCCTGGGAGGAATAAATGCTGGCTGGGGAGTTCTGGGAACTGAAGTCCACAAGTCTTCAAGTTGCCAAGTTTGGACAGCCCTGTTATAAAGTAATAATGGGAAAAGGAATTGATTGGCCACCAGCTGGTGAACAAGATGCAAATTGCCTTCTCCACAATAATGTTGATTACAATTGTACATTTCAAACTCAGAATTGGAACTTGACATGAAGGCAGGATGACTCAGCCTGAATTCTGCCCATTTCCTAAAAAATGCATGTGGAAGGGTGGAACACGGAGTACAAAAACAACACTGAAATTCCTCACAGAGTTTCATGTCGGTTTGCTGATCAGTTTGGATAGTGGTGAGGTTTGGGCCTAGAGTCAGAGAGCATAGAAATAGATTGTCAAAACAATGGAAAGGGTCCTTCCTTCGTGATTGGGTTGCACGGTAGACGTATCTTGATCAAGAATCTCAAAAACTGTCTATCCTCTGAGATCAGGAGCAGATATCATAAGAAACTTTCAGCCCTTTAAAGCAGTCCAGAAAAAAAGTCCAACTCATGAGTACTGACACGACTTTTATTATAAGGTTAAGTAACAGAATCTTGTTAGTGGGTCCGAAAGTAACTCTCCCCTCCCTTCCTTTTACTTTCCAGAAAACTAAGGCGTTCCCATACTGCCTTTTTCTTCTGTTGGGTGACACACTTTTTGCATGAGATTTGTCTAGGTCAGGGGTCTCCAAACTTGGCAACTTTAAGACTTGTGGACCCCAACTCCCGGAATTCTATGGGAGTTGCTGGCTGGAGAATTCTGGGAGTTGGGATCCACAAGTCTTAAAGTTGCCAAGTTTGGAGACCTCTGGTCTAGGTTGTAACTCTTCTCTTGTCTTCCAATGTTATTACCTTATATCAGAGAGAGTCAAGGAGGGGCAATCTTATGCTTCCTTGTTTTCCAGGGCTGAGCTCATATTTTACTAATAGTCTCAATGTATCTTTTCCAAGGTCATCTCAGTACTCCTCCAATAAATTTTTGCAGCTGACATTTCTTGCTAGAGAAACACTGAATTAATAAGGACAAGGAATCAAAAAGGACCTCTTCCTTGAGGAGCAGAATCCCTATCTGTCCTGTTTCTCGAACAATTATGTCCTAGAACTGATTGCCTCCAAATTACTTTGAGCCCCAAAAACAGATGCTTAGCACACTCTTCACCGGAGCATAGGTATTGAAAGGCAACTTAGAGTTTTGCCAGGAAGGACTGAATCTGTACAACGGATACAAAATCTTCCATAATTATTAAATGAGCCGAGTATTCCAGGGATGTTTATGAAGATAAAATTGATCTCCAAGATAAAACCTACCAGAATACAAAGATTAGGTAGAGATTTAGCATTCTGTGAAATACTTAGACCAGAACTGAAAAATGCATATTCAAGTCTTCAGTTGGCAACACATATCAAAAGCTAGTCCTGGATCAGATACAGGTGGTCCTTGATTTATGTTCATAATGGAGCCTTTCATGATGGTCATAAAATTATGTGACTGACCTGAATTTACTTTTTGCAGAAGTCATTAAGCAGATGCGGTTGTAAAGTGGCTGCCACAGTCATTAAGTTCACCATGGATGTGGTTTTGTCAAAAACTGCAAAATATTGCCAGTTTTTGGCAAAACTATTATAAAACAAGGTCACATGACCACAGGATGCTACAAATCAGGAGGGGGGGGTCAGATTTCCACCTGATCATCAGAACTTTGAATCCTGGATGTAATTAGCCTCCCCCTTGTAGATCCATTGTAACTTTGACTTCGACTGTAAGTGACCAGTCATAAGTCAAGGATATCTGTACCCCCTCTTGGCACAACGACCGAGAGAACATCCTGTATATCAAAGCAAGCGATTTGCAGCTATAGAGACATATTTGGCCTTTGGCTTGCTCTGTGGCTTTCAGTGTTGATTTTTTTTTAAAAAAAAATCCTCTATATAAGCATACACTTATTAAAGAAAATGGGAGCACCCCATCCTACACTCTGTTAAAAATATGATCCTGTATAATGAAGTAGAGAAATGCATAAATTAGACAGGAGAAGCTCTATATACATCTCTGAGCAGTTTAGAGGAAAATAAAGGATGATATGTGAGCCTTCTGTAGTGCAGTGGTTAGAGTGTAGTACTGCAAGCTACTTCTGCAGCCAGCTGCCTAGAGCTTGGCAGTTCAAATCCCACCAGGCTCAAGGTTGACTCAGCCTTTCCAACCTTCCGAGGTGGGTAAAATGAGGACCCAAATTGTTGGGGGCAATAGGCTGATTCTGTAAACCGCTTAGAGAGGTCTGTAAAGCACTATAAAGCGGCATATAAGTCTAAGTGCTATTGTTATTGCTATATTTAATCATAAAACAAATATTTTGGAAAGACTGCTGTATTTTCTACACTCACCCACTCAGCACAGTGGAAGTGACTCCTGCCTCAGTAAGAGTACTATCTGGTTAGGTCCTCCCCAGTGGTGTTTTAACCGTTAAGCAAGTGCTTAGGACACCAGGCTCAAAGGGGGCACCACAAAGTTGAGAATTCATTTGTACAAAGGAGGGGGCACCAAGATTTGTCAGTCGTTAGGGCACCAATGAGCCTTAATCCGCAACTGGTTATCCCGCTGTTGGGTGTTGCGTTAACCCACTGGGTTTTCTCTTCCGCAGGCGGTGTACAAGCTGGCTGATGTGGCTTGCAAGTGTCATGGAGTCTCAGGGTCCTGCAGCCTGAAGACATGCTGGCTACAGCTGGCCGACTTCCGCAAAGTGGGAGACTTGCTGAAGGAGAAATACGACAGCGCTGCCGCCATGAGAATTGGTCGTAAAGGCAAGCTCGAGCTAGTGAACAACCGCTTCAATTCACCCACCCCTGAGGACCTGGTCTACATTGACTCCAGTCCAGACTATTGCCTGCGTAATGAGACCACTGGCTCCCTGGGCACACAAGGGCGGTTGTGCAATAAGACTTCGGAAGGCATGGATGGATGTGAGCTGATGTGTTGCGGCCGGGGCTATGACCAGTTCAAGAGTGTGCAAGTAGAGCGTTGCCACTGCAAGTTTCACTGGTGCTGTTACGTCAAGTGTAAAAAGTGCACAGAGATTGTCGACCAGTATGTCTGTAAATGAAAGGCCATCGAGACCTACAAATCTATATGATAATAAATCTATATAAATCTATTTTAAATATATTTGTATAAATAAATAGAAGATGTTGATGTTGTTGATGATGACATAATAATTATAATTAAAGAAGCTTATTTAAGAGACTGAAATGCTTCCACTAAAACAACTGATGGGTCAGGATGCTCCTTTTTAAATTATTTAGTCATGGAGCAAGGAAAAAGAAAAAAAGACCAGGGATGGGATTTCTGTACTTGTTCCCTGCAACTCTTGAAACAACTCAGCCAGAATAAATGAGAAACTTGAGGTATGAGGCTGGCTCCAGATGTTTTGCCACCGAAAAGGTGAGAACAGTGATAGTGGTAATGGCAGACATGTTTCTTCTGCTACCTGATGGCTGAAATTCAAAGAAGTTACATGTGTCATGAGGGCACAGCCAAAGAAAGCGCTTTGGAAGCTCAGATGGATTTCCAAAAGGACATGAAACAGTTCTCTTTACTTAACAACACACCAGACTCCAAAAAAATAAATAAATGTCAATTGTAATACAGAAAGACCAATTTCCAAGACAGAATCCATGCAAGACTGTCACATAAGAGCCTGGATTCTTCATCAAAGGTTTGAAACAAAACCTCCTTATCCTTTGACCTAAAATGTGCTGCTGCATCCTTGTTTCATTAAAAAAAAATTGCATCTGTTTCTTCTACCTTTTGTGCAATCGGGCAGGTGGAAAAGAGGTTTGAAAAAAGCATTCTCTAAAGCTCTGTAAAAAAGCCATGCAGTTGAAGTGGGATGATTTTCTTCAGTTGGTTGATCTGGTTTTTGCTTGTAGAAAAAAAGATCTGTCAGGGTGCCTCTTGTGGATGGAGAAGAGACTGTGTTCTGCCTAAGTGCCTTTGAACTTAAAAAAAGACAGATATACCATTCCACAAGCACGCGGAGCTCTACATGGATGTGAATTTGAATAGCCATGGGGGGCAGGGGGGGATTCTTCCCCCCCCCCGTATCCAAGATGTACAGTTACTTTTTAATATTAAATATCCCTTGTTCTTGCCCTCTCCCTTGTTTTTGTGAGTATATTTATTATCTGTTGCTGCTCATGCATTTCATACCATAGGGCTTTCTGCCAGTCTAAACTTCTTCCTGATTTAAAACGTTATAATTTTCAACCTGATTCTCATGTTCTGTTTTGAGATGGTAATAAAATCACTTGAAATTGTTTTTTAAAACTTAAAGTTTCCTTACATGGCAATAGATAGATGATAGATAGATAGATAGATAGATAGATAGATAGATAGATAGATAGATAGAT